GGGGGGGGATGAGGCGGCCCACCTCAGTTGTGAATAATCGTGGGAGGTGGGCCCCGAGCCCGGCGGAGCCAGGCGAGATTGCTTGTTTATTGCGGACGGTCGGTGCCGGACGGACGGACGGGGCGGCGCGGCCGGCCTTGCATCGCCGAGCAATATGGGTCAAGTTGGCTGCACCGGGGCTGCTCTGGGGCACTACCGAGAGCAAAGACGTGGCACTCTGCCCTGCTGCGCCTGCAGCTGCGACCGCCTCCGCGGCGGCCGGCACCACTGCCCGGCACCTGTATACGAGCAGCTGCACCAGCTGCAGCGGTGGCAGTCCCCCAAAAACGGTCCGCCGCAGCCTCGACCCGTCTCCCCCGGGTGGGCGCGGGCGCGGGCGGGTGCTGCTGCGCCTCAATTTCAATGCCAGGCTCAGGCCCAGGCCCACCAGCCCGGGCAGCGCTCTGTTGAGCAAGGTCAGGGCTAGAGCCGGCCAGGCTCATGGGCTCGGCAAGCGGCATAGCGGGCGGGGCGGCGGCGGGCGAGCGGCAGCACGGTAAAGGAATGGCGGGGCGGGGCGGGGCGGGGCGGTGGGCCGGGCGGAGCCGAGCGAACCTGTTTGGCGATTACGGCGCTGCCTCTTTGAGGTGAGATAATCCTGTCACGGAGAAATGGAGAGACAATCATCGCCGTGCGTAAAAAGGCCCGCCGCTATACCTCCGCCGCTATGTTACCGTCATTTTCTGAAAATGTTCACTCGATCGGCCTCGTAGAAAAATGAGTGATTTTTTGTTGCGTATGTGAGAGTAGTACGAACGCTTGGAATTGCCCACTGGTTTCCCAGTGCCTTCACGCATGGACAAGAACTCGCCGACCGACCCCGTTCTCGTGGGACCTCGATGACCTCAAGGAGATGATGTCGATTTTCAATTTTTTAGCACGGCCCATTGTTAACTTAGCTCATGGGAACGCGGCGGCTGCTGGGCTGGTAGGGAAGACCATGTGAAAGATGCGGGGGCTAAAGCCCCACTGACGACCCAGTGTCAATATTTGGGGCTTACCTTCTCGAATGCAACATTTTTGCATTCCTCCCATGAATACCAAATATTGGCGTTCTGTTCGAGGACCCCAATTTGTTGCCCGTTTTTTGCATGCCAGATTTGGGCGGGCTCCCTATGTGTCGAACACGGCCACCGTTGTTGGCAGCCTCAATCTAGGCTGGAGTTGACACTGTGAAAAATAGTAGGAGGGTTTAACACGTTCCCTGCGGTCACACTCCCATGTTAAATCATAGGCACCGAAAATTAGCCGCAGGGAACGTGTTAAAGGAAAATGTGTTCTCGTAAATTTGCAACTTAAATTATAATTTGAGTTTACCAAATTTTTGTAAATTTACGACGATATTTTTCAAAGTACTTAATTCACCTGCATCCACGCCGGACCTCTCAGCGACAACTACCGCATCTGTGAAACAGGGATATTTTTCTTGGAGGCCACCGCGTCTAGAGGAAAGAAATGGAGTAAAGTTCAAAACCCCCTCGTGAATCACCCGCATCCTTGAGCGCTGGGGACGCGGGGGGACGGGCGGGGGACGCTATGGCCGATGGGAAATTATTTTAGCCGCCTAGCCGAACTGGTCTTTGAGGACCCCCTTGTTGAGGACCCGTGTTTGCCTGTTGCTGGCGCGGCAGGGAGACACACACAGGGGTTTCTCAACGCCAGCCGGTAGTTGGTAGTCTTAAGTCGTGCGCTAGGAGGTTCGTTTTAGGCGGGGGAGGACGGGGGGAGGGGGGCGGGGTGGAGGCGGTGCCATCTTTGTCTCCTACCACACTGAAAACTCAGTGGCCCCTTTTCCACGCAAACGTGACGCTCATT